CTTGAATAACTACAGTCTCGGTGGCTGGCAGGGAGCGCTGATAAGGGATGTTGCCTGTGTCGAGTCAACAGGCGAAGGTGGACTCAAAGAGGCTCGCAGAGCACATATACTCTAATTGGACAAGCCCGAGCTTCATTGAGAGTTCCCTTGGTTGATGTGCAGTGAGGTAAGCCAAAAAATGTGCGCAACCCTTGAGCTTGGATGCTTTCTAGCGTGCTCGCAAAACTGGGCTTCATGCTTGAAAGTACGGGCATGCTGTATCGTAAGTATCCTACGAATAAAGATTGGTACAGTTTCAGGAGAGCTGCCTCCGAAGGGCCCCATCTTGCTCCGGCCATGACCCGAAGAACGTGGACAAAACTCTTGAGCTTTGACTTCAAGGCTATGACGTGTTTAGACCACGATAGATTCCGGTCGAGGATAACACCCAGAAAATTGTGTTGCGCAAAAACACGAATTTCTGTTCCATTCGCAGTTAGTGGGTATCTTGGCATTTGTTTTCGTGTAAATGCGAGCACTGTGCATTTTTTAAGTTGACTGTGCGAGACCCTGACGACGTAGGTATCTTGCTGTGAGGGTCACTGCACGTTGCAGTCGAGCACGCAGTTGGGGGTGCGTAGCTCCAGAAGCCCAGATGCAGATGTCGTCCGCATATGGGCTCACCTTCACCGTGTCAGGAAGTTCAGTAGCAAGTCCAATAACTTTAAAGCAAACTTCCTGTGGAAGCATATGGCATATAAAGCGCCCGAATCAGGTAAGAGCGTGCTCATGAGACCACAACCTGAGTAGGCGCGCGCGCATCACAATGACTAGAGCTATGAACTTTAGCGCGTGCCAAAGCGCGAATTATGCGCCCTCTCGCTACAGATGACATATATGCACTGAATGTTCTAAGCTCTGAGGACCATCAATGATATGATGTAGATAAATAACTTGCCGTTAGGAAGCTGGACAATCCGTTGCCCGTAAATACCTAATTGTGTCGTTTTTGCTCTTTTCTATATCAGGATGACGCATTCTGCGTATTTTCTCAATCATTCTACGCATTTTAGGGGTGAAGCTCTTTAGGGTGTTGGTCTCTCGTAGTAATCGTAGCCACTTCTATTTAGTTTTAGGAATTGCTCACAAGACCGTGGTGTGTTTATGTTCTTGTAAATATTGTCACTACATGGCGTTAATGGCTTTCGTATAAAAACGCACAGAGCATATTCACGGACTGAATGATGAGTGGGGTGAAGCGTTCGTCTGGCCGTCACAGAAAGAAAGGGTAGGCGGGCAGACGAATGGACGGACAGACGAACAGACACTTCGCCCCACCCATCGGTATTCACTCCGTAGATATTCTGCGATGTTTTTTCGAAAGCGATACTAAAGGCTGTTATATTAAGGGCCAAACACTGTTATTCATGGACAGTCGTTGGACCCAGTGAACAAATTTATTAGGTTCACAATAGGCGTGAGTTATGTCGGTATTTGCTGGGAAATTTTTTTTTCACTAAGTATAAGTATGCACCATAATTACAGAGCGATCAATAATTGACAACAGTGTTGCAACCATGACTGAACAACACTTCTATTACATTATTTGTTTTACCTTTTGTCTGCATTCAAAAACAATAGTCGTTGCATCGCACATCGAAATACGTAGCACTATTGTTTTAGAAAATTAAGAGAGGCTCAGGCTCTCCATAGCAATTTATCTGTATTTGTGGCGGTTCTCAACCTCTACGTACGTATTTTGGTAGCTGGAGGTAATCGAATCGCCATCCATTCAAAGGAAAATCGCATTCCCTTCGCGGTGTATAGAAGGCCTAGTTAGCGCCCAATTAGGCGTTTAGAGCTGTACAGTCGTACAAACGGTGGCACCGAGCTCATTAGGGTAATTCTAAAGCAATTGGCAAATGCGACTTGAGTATCGGGAGATCGCAAGTCACTGCTCTCACTGCAGTGGGGTCGTATTAGGGGATAGATGGCAATCATGTTTCATTAAAGAAGCAGTGACATCCACTTGACGCATGTCACGTGTTCGCATCAGCGCGTATAATTATCGATCCCTTATACGATTAGGTACTAATATCACAAAAGAGGGACAAATATGTATGTATAATATTGACCAGTGTCAAACCTGATTCAAAACGAGTGCAAAGCCCGCCAATTGTCAGCGTCTCAAGCGCTGCCAAGGGGTCGCCTCCCGTGGCACGCCCTATATAATTACGTGGCTACACGGAATCGAAACGCGACTTTCAGTTGATACTTCGTCTGCTTGGTGTGCACCTCTATAAGCATGTCTTCGACACCCCCCCCCCCCCCACCACTTTGTCGTCGCCGTCGTCACCTGCATGCACAAACGATGAAAATACTGCGGAATAAAGAATCGCGGCGATTTGCAGTGAGGTGAATTATTTTCTGTTCGATCGTCTTCTTAGCAGCAATATTATTGTCCACCTGAACCAAATTAACCCTGCTCTACCAAGTTTTTTTAGTAATCTTTTTTAGATCTGATACCATAACAGGTTGCGGCTATATACGTTGTTTAGCTAACCTACAATTAAATCTTTCGACGCACCTAAACCAACACTCTGAGCATTAGCATATGCCAAGACCGCGGACAAATTATGGTTTTGAGGCATTGCGTTATTGCTTGCCGAATACACTAAATAAATACACTAAATACACTAAATACATGCATTTCTTTGTATTTGCCACCGTTCGAATAAGCACTGTTTATATTTCTATTCTTTTTTTCACACTTCTGGCAGATCCTGTTCCACTATGGTACCCGTGTAAGATAACACGTGATGCTGTAATTTTCTGTGTACTGTACTTGCGGTATGTTTTTGCTTTGCTGCCAGGGTGGCACGACCAAGTAAGGCATTTACTTAGCCTTTAGTCGTGTTCCCCAAGGCAATCTTGTTCAATTTTGCCTTGAATAAAGCAAACCAAACCAAACCAAACCAAATAAGGAATTGCATGTCAAGATGTTCGTACGCTCTCTGATACTTATGTTTTAAATTTGCTACTTATGTTCTAAATTTGCTTTATTATTAGATATGTGCGGTGTAATTTTCTCTTTGCATACTTCTTTGTTTCTATGTATAGCATGTCCGTTTCTAGTTTGTACAGGTTTGTATATTTTTTTGTTCCGATGCAAAGCATGTACAATGCTGGTTTAAACTGCCTTGTGCTGTACTTTGCTTTGGGCTTTTTGTCGCCCCAGTGACTATGGAAATATTATGGGCTCTATCAAGCTGTTCTTATACAGCTTTTGTCTCTGTCCCATCCACTTACTGTACAACTGTGCGTGTTAAATAAACTCGACTCAACTCAACGCCGGACTGAGCAAAGGCGAGGCAGATGAAGGCGCACGCTTTGGCAACACTGGCTGGTGAGACATATGAACGCTGCCTGCGTGATGCGTATTCGCGATGATAGTAGCTTCAAATAATCACAGTGGTGCTCAACACTCCACTAGTTATTTCGTGAAGCGGCAAACGAGAATGCAGGATTCACATGATCGCGCTGCACGAACCAAGCAACACAAAGAAAGTGCAACCGTTGCTAGACAGCCAGGCATCGCTGCCAGAAGGCGCCACATCTATAGACACCGCGATGTCAACACTAAACCTGTCGACGTAATCGCTACTCACCCATCGTCACTTTGCACCTGAGACGTAGCCCTGGAGCTCACTGAACACGTCAAAATGCTGCCGATGTCTCACGGCAATGAACGATTCGATGAGCCTTAGACGCTGATTGTGCTCAAACTAGAGTAAATACCACGTAACGGACGTGATTCATGCTTTGGTAAAAAAACATCGCACAGCCGACGTGCAATGGGAATCGATGATAAGCGAAGCACGAATGAGGAAGGTTCATATGTCACTTTAGCATCAGTACAACGTTACGAAGCGGACGTAAATTGTCCTGTACAGGACTTCCATCTGACGGTTGTGATGTTTGAACGTGTCATTTACCTTCGTCGTCTATTCACATCACGTGAAACCAAGTTTGGTATTTTAGAAGCTAGCAAAACAGCCATGAGCACGCTATGAACGTAGCATGTAGTCATGTTTTACATGACACGCATCTCATTATTATTATGTTTTGGCTTGTTATTTACATTTGTCGTCCATTCACGTCACGTATTACTTAATTTTGTATAAGTGAAGCTAGCGAAACGGCCGCGAGCGCATTATGAGCATGGTATGTTGTCATGTTCTGACATGACACGCTATTTATGATTATCATGTTTGCACCAGTCATGTAACTTCATCATTTATTAACGTCACGAAACACCAAATTTGGTTTATGTGAACCTAGCGAAACGATGGTGAGCGCACCATGAGGGCGGCATGTAATCATGAACTACATGGGATGCATGTCATGATTTGCACGTTAGGGACTGCCACTTGTGTTCGCCATGTATTCATGTCACACTATACCATTTTTGCAACATGTCATATGAACGAAACCATCGCAAGATAAGAAAGGCCATGAAATGTAAATCAAGATATTCATGACATACATGTCTTATTTCTTTTGTTTATACTACTCACTTTTGCTCGTCATACAGCCACGTGGGATTAGCCGTGTGTCGCGTGGCAACCTCAGCGTCTGCAATGGACCACAATAAAGTTCTCACTCACTCGCTCACCCACTCACTCGCTCACTCACACACTCATGTTATGTCATACCAATTTGGGTATTGATACCCTTATCCAAACGGCCAGGAGAGCAAAAAGCAGTATGCTGCTAGCTAGCTAGATAGACAGATAGATAGATAGATAGATAGATAGATAGATAGATAGATAGATAGATAGATAGATAGATAGATAGATAGATAGATAGATAGACGAAGGTATGAAAGGACTGTAAGGATAGAACAGCGCGTAGTGGGACATATGCGTTGTCTTTCTGCACAACGTAACTATAACCACCGTGTGCTTGCATTCACACAAGTGCCTAGTAGCTCAATCGTCTTTCGCCTTTATTCTCTGCAGCTTGTGAGCTCCTGTCGATGGGCGTGATGGCCATCGTGGGACCAAGTTCGGGCCCTGGTTCCGCTGCCGTGGAGGCCGCGTGCAAGCGATCACGCGTCCTCCACCTCGTTACTCGTGCACCTGGAAGCGGCATCGGCGACGGCGGTGCCAGCACTGACAGAGACGGCGGCGGTGACTCGTCGTCCATCCCGATCCATCTGTCGCCTCGGCGTGCCCACCTAGGATCGGCAATCAAGGGACTCCTCGACGCGAAGGGCTGGAAGTCGTTCACGCTTGTCTACGAACAAAGTCTCAGTAAGTGGCACCCTGTTTTCCCACTAATGCTAATTTAGAGGCCCTTGTAGCAGTCTGAAATTCATGGCAGCTGCCAGCATAATAATCAAAATGCAAACTTGCTACCCGAAAAAGACGCGCGCTTCTTCTACATGATGCCGTTCACAAACTCATAATGAAATAAAACAAGAAATCCGGCAAAAGTGAAATGCGCAAAAATAATAAATAAATATGTTTCGGTACTCTATATGTGACCCTTGCTCAGAACAAGGTCCCCGTTTTTTCAGTTTTTTGCACATTTCACTGTGGTCGGCTTTTTTGTTTTATACCACTATGTTTGTGCCCAACCGCACGATATTTCGTCCCACACTTGTTTATGGAAATAATCAAGCGCATATCTATTATCCTGTATAGTTTCTGAGCGGATGTTTTAGCCTTACGGGACACTAAGGAGCAGCAGGAAAATAGTGTAAGCCGATCAACGAACACTTCAGGTGTTTATTTGCACTGACCTTGTAATGTAGTATCATTAGACTACAGGAAAATAATTGGCACAATTACGCAGCAGTGCAAAAACTGACGAATATGCAAGGCTGGTAGCCCTACCGTCTTACGAGTGCTTGTGTCTGTGCAAGTCGGTGCGACCTTCTTTGCAGACTTCGCTAGTATGAAACACGGCTGGAAGAATGGCACAAGTAGAAAGGTATCAGCACACGTAACAATACTTCTCATCTTGTAGTACTTGCGCCTCTCTTCTTTGCACTAAAGAATGCGCACACAGAAACATGGACACAAGAAGGAAAAATTGCTAACTGTATCACAGGCTGGATCATGTAACAGATGTAATATATATGTACTTGCTTTTCTTTTAAATAAACTGTTGTTGCGAGTGGGTACCCGTGCTTTTAGGATATCTTTAATCTTGTGTACGTGTTTTTGTGCGTGCCTTGTCCATTCTAAACATGAATGAATATTAAATAGACGAATTATTTGTTCTATTGTGTCTCTCGGCGACTTTTGCAGCCAGGTTAACTTCGAAAATTCATTACCGTCAATTTTCTGCTGCTCACAATCATTTCTTTTCTCGCCCCTTGCAAGTCTATATAGGGACGTTAATTTTCTTTTTTTTTACTTTTGTTGTATTTGGTTTACCAAGACTATCAGCAATGCTCAGCGCGAACCCCGCCTCAGTGTACACAAGAAAAAGTCTACACAATGTCGAATGTATTTGCTTTCCCAAGTGTATACTGCTTAAACAGCCAGTCCTGTAGCACAATACGATACCGTGGCTGCAGTCCGGATCCCATACTTCCCGATGGGCCCGCCAAGCAAGCTCCATGGTAACGCGAACTCATTACTCGTAGCATTGATTTCAACGTGGTAAGACTTTCGTGGGATCACGAGCTTTCGGCATAAATCCATCTTCTTGCCCCGTTTTGTGACGTAACCAGCTGCAGGGAAGTGCGACTACGTGCTTTGCGATAAAGTAGCGACAGAAAGAAGTGCGGGGCAAAAACGCAGAAGTAGCCGTCGGTCGCCTAATGCGCAGGTAGGGTGTTCGTTTAACGCGGAAGGCCACATGTTTGGATGACGTTTATAACACCTTTAGGACCTCACTGCACTTGGCCATGGTCTCTGGAGATGAACAGTGAAAACTCACCGCGCTTCTCGTAGAGCGGATGACGTGCATCTGGTGCATTATTTTTAGGGAGGAAACTCCTTACGCTGTGGGTCGTACGTCCCCTGTCGTCTCATGTCATCGTAGTAGCCAGTTTTCAAGGTCATAAAAGTGCATTGCATGTCAATAAATACAGGGTCACCACATATTCAAGGAGTGAATGTTTATGAGTGGGGCGAAGCATTGAACAGTCCTTTCGTGCTTCGCCCCTCTCGTCATCATTCACCTGGTGAATTTGCTGTGATTTTATCCAAAAAACACACGGACACAAACAATATATATATATATATATATATATATATATATATATATATATATATATATATATATATATATATATATATATATATTTGTATGTGTGTGTGCGTGACGCTATGATGAATGGACGACGTGGCCTGGCTCATAGGTTATGTTTATTCCAAAGCACACTTTTTTCTCATCTACTTCTCCTAACCATTGCTTCATACGTCACACGATTCCCCTCCCCCCGAAATAAGGCATGGATTACTAACAAGAAAAAGTAAACAAGTAGAGGTTAAAAAGTCGCAATTGTCAAAAATTCGCAATTGGTTTTATGCTCCAGGGGAGTTCCGTAAACTTTCAAAGACTTCAGGGGAAAGTGCAGCAGTCCGGTTAACGCAGGAGTTCTGGTGGGCGAGGCTGGTGGTTGCGTCCTGGATAACACAAAAATGCTTTGGACGTGGAAACAGATGGAAATACAGCCGGTATTTTTGCAAAAAACGAACGAGGTTGGAACGCTTTGCAGGATTGAATGTTTCGTAGGCGTCGCATTTTTTGTCGTGGGTCATACAAACGCCGTGCATGCAATTTGCGCGCCCGTTGATCGTGGCCGATTAGGCGCTGCTTGTGTTCCTGCAGAGCACAAGCGGTTGTTTTGTGGCTTTTGGGGAGTTTTATTGGTGATTACGCAGATCTTCAGATCAAAGGCGCAATCTTGAACGCTGGTGCGGAAAAGTTCCTTGGCTTTTCTTTCTGCGAAGATAGCTCAGATGCGGAATCAGTCTTTTCTTTAGTGTATGTTGATCACGACACTCTTCAGGCCGCAAGTATCCTTGCGATGTAGTTTTAGTTGTTCGTTGCCTATGTTGGTGTGGTCGTTTTAGCTGTTGGGGTTCTTGTTGTTGCTTTTGTTGGCATTGCTGATGTTGCACTGCCTGACGAGATGAACTTCTTTTGGAACCATGAGCCCGCTTTTCTTTGTAGGTTGACGTGACCAGCAAATAGTTCATACTTGTTAGGGTGTCGCGATTTGTGTGAGGCAATGAAGATAGCGCGCCAGAATTGGCAGAAAAATCTGCTGAGGCTCTTGCAGCGCCATTCTTGATGGATGTTTCTGGCACAGGGCAGTGCTTGAGATTTGATCATTCCGAGCCTCCTGTGTGGGTAGGGCTCTCAGGTGGCTGGGAATTTGACGGCGACACTGCGAAAGGATCGGCTTGGTCATATTTTAATTGGTAATGTGTGTATCTCTGTAGAACGAACGATGCGAGCTCTTCTGGCACATGAAACTGAACTGTTGGTGACGGGCTTGACTGAGTGTGCTCGGAGTTTCTCCACTCTATTCCGACCATAGTCAATGCGTCAGACGCGAGGAGGGCGTTGTGAGCGACCGAAGATACACGCGACGGAAAAGCAGGAGGTCGGTCAATGCGTGAAAGCTGCTTTTGACTGTGACGACCGAGCGCGGTTGTATGTGAATGGTTTGAAGTTTTCGTTCATTGTCGTCTTTTCTTGGTGTAGCGGGGGCGCTGAGAAAATTGCGGGTGGTCATCGTCGTTGAAGGAGAAGATGCTGTCGGTAGTCCCAGCGTTATTTACGAGTGCATTGCAAGCATCATTTGGGCCCAGGAAAGCAGTAGATACATTTTCGTTTTAATCAACGAGACTTGCATTCAATGGTGACTCCATACTGTTTCGACTTTGGGTTGGTCCAGTTCCCGAGGATGACATCGCCGCAAACATGGCTTGACGTGGTTTCGATTCCGCATGTTTGTTTCTTTGCGGGAGAATTGAGCTACGTGTTCCTGAAGTATAACGACTTTCGGAAGGACAGTGGCTGAACAAGGTATTTTCCTGGTGCGCTAGGTCATCTGCCACAAATACGGCGTTTTTAAAAGGCAAGTGGTGAGTATTAGGAAAGCTTGAAGAACCGCGTGATGAAAACCCAGGTGGTGAACCACGTATGCGAGACGAACAGTGAAGGACATCAGGTGGTTGAGCAACGTCTTGTGTCATATGCTGGAGCGATGGCTTAAAAAATGTCGACTTTCGTGCAGAAGGGAGGCCCACTCGATGGTTTTGTTTTTCCCAAAATACGCATTGTCGTCTGTCACTGAAACCGTGCGCCACGTCGTCTTGTGCCAGTGGTAGAATCTTGTTGTGCGATCAAACGGTTGAAGACTGCCTGGGAAATGGACGACTGAGTGCAATTGTCTGCAGATGGTGGGTTATAATCGAGTCTTCGTCGTAGTCGTCACTGTATTCTTTAAATATAATAATCATTTATTCTTTGATCTTTTTCCATGACTCGTCGTTTTAAAATATGTGGGTGAGGTAGAATTTGAAATCCTCACCGGAAACGTAGTAAGTAAATTTGATGATCATCTCCCGTTCTGACCATGAGGAAGCGGTAGCGTGGAGCTCGAACAGGTCGAACCAGTCCTGTAAAGGTCTATCGTCTGCTTCTCCGGTGTACTTCGGGATGGGAAGGTCAGTCGATGGTTCTGTCCTAATGCCGGTAACTGCATGCGCCTGAGATCCGCTCTGCTGTGGTCGATATTCAGTTGAGGCGTATTGCCGGTGGTTTTCTGAACGATGTGAGACTGACAAGTGGCGGTCAGGTCTTCATCCTGTCGACTCGTGTGACGCTTTGATGAATGGGCGACGTGACCTGGCTCATACGCCATGTTTATTCCAAAGCACACTTCTTCCTCATCTACTTCTCCAACCATCGCTTCATACGTCTTATATATATATATATATATATATATATATATATATATATATATATATATATATGTGTGTGTGTGTGTGTGTGTGTGGCTTACCCCCGCCGCGGTGGTCTAGTAAAGGTACTCGGCTACTGACCCGCAGGTAGCGTGATCGAATCCCGGCTGCGGCGGCTGCATTTCCGATGGAGGCGGAAATGTTGTAGGCCCATGTGCTCAGATTTGGTCGCCAGGTGAAGAAACCCAGGTGGTCGAAATTTCCGGAGCCCTCTATTACGGCGTCTCTCATAATCATATAGTGGTTTTGGGACGTTAAATCCCACATATCAATCAATCAATCATGGGCTCGCGGCTCTAAGGGGGTGTCCGGAACAT